GATCATCGTATGTACCGGCTCGAGCCCGGGTTCAGCGGGATCCAGCGTGCCGAAGGAGGTAACCGGTAGCGTACGGACGTCTACCGGACCTGGATGCTCGGCGTAACTCGCCGGCGGGTAGCCGCCCCAGCGGGGATCGACGGAGAACATCGGTTCTCCGGATCCGCGGGCGGCTCCTCCACGGTCCTGTTCGTCCGCGTACGATACGCGGTCCACTTGCCGCCTACTTTCGGCGATAGGCAGCAAGGCTTGGGTCTCAGACGCGAAGTTCACGTCTATCGGAGGACGGCTTCCTTCTGCAGTCCGACTGGTAGCGGCACCAGTCGGGCGCCAACCTTCGGGGGCGGCGGCGCTCGGAGGTACGGTACCACCGGGCCCTCTCGAAGGGGCACCGGGGTACCCTTTCGGCCATGGTACGTTCCATGTCACGAGCACGCCGACGAGTGGCGTCGAGCTCAGCGGAGAGGTGCGCGAACGCACCTAATTGCTCTGCGGATGGAGAGGTTCGGCCCTCGGGTCGTCTCACCGAGGTCGGCCTCTCAGGGCGACCTTGCCCGGGCGGTCCGGGCGAGGCGAAACGGGAGTCTTCGACGAGCACTATCCGCGAGTGTGACTCGTCGATCAGTGCTCGGAGATTCTCTAAGGACTGCGTCACTCTATCGAACCTCCCTTCACGCAGGGAGCGGAGTTCGGCCATACATTGAGTGTATACATGGTCCGATACATCGATCCGAAGGGAAGTACGGACTTTTTCGATGTATTCGGCTATGCGTTCGAACATCGCCGCCGCTCTTTCCTCGGAGGATCCGAGCGACGGTTCGCGGTCACGAGGACCTGCGTCGCCGTCGCCCGACGGGGCGGATGGGGACTGCACAGCGGCCGGACTCGGATCCGCCGCTTCGGAGCGGATGGAGGGCTCAAACTCTTGGCTCATCTCAACGCGATTGGTTCGCGGAGGGAAGCGAAAGTCTTCTCGGAGATCGGACTCCAGGGTCTTCTAGGTCGAGAGACCACTGTAGCATAAACACCCCCAGCGATAGGGGTGTATGCACAGTTCGACCGAGACCCCGTCCGATCGGGAAGACGGGGGTGAAGCAGGACACCAGCTAACGGCACCGGGCAGCGGGCCCGGGTAGCGTGGTAGAGCGGGAACGGGGAGGACGCCGGTACGCGCGAGCGGTTCGACGCCTCGACGCCCCGGCGCGGTACTGGGTAACGATCCAGTACCAACGGGCGGAGGCGGAGCCGACTCGTGGGCGTACCGCGCGCGTCCTCAACCCGCGCTCCGTGCCGCTCTAAGGTAGTTAGCGAGCGCTACCTTAGAATAAGCGGGAAGTCGAACCTTGACGGTCGGTGGGTGACAAGTCCGTGCTTGTCCTCCTCCACCGCCGCCGGTCCGCTCCATATTTAATGTACATAATAACCTATCATAATAGTACAGTGCCGATGTACTGTAGCGGTCCGTCGACACTGTAATACTGTCAGCCATCGGGGCTGACAGTACACGTGTGTGCGCGTTCTTTGGTCCCGCGGTACACGTGTACACGTGCGCCCCCTGTACTCGGGGGTACACGTGGTGGTACTGTAGAGCATCGAGCCCTACAGTAACCGATCCGGTTCTGAGTTGATCCAATCTAAAATAAAGCCCCAGGGGGGGGTTATACTACAATGGTGACCGTCGGTCAGGAGAAATCTAAAAAAGAGTCGAGATGGAAAATGCAGCTGGAGATCAAGGGGCGAAGCAGATGTGCAAGGACGCTCAGGAGGGGGATAGTAGTGTAATAAGGGGTTGCACAAGGGGGTGGGGGGAAAAGAAACTAAGTTGGAATGTGAATACTGTTGTCCGGGATCGGGGGAGACACGTGTGAATATTTGCACAGTTTTGTTTTAATTATTAATCTTGTTTAGTTAATTAGTCAGTATTAATTTTGCTAACATTAGATTAGATCTAGGATCTAGCGCCACGAGCTACTGTAGTGGCTCCGGCTGGGCGATATATACCTTGGCCCGCTGACCACCAAGGCAGTAAAGGTAACCCGAGTTGCCAGAGTCTGATATCGCTTTGGTCGAAGTCCGTCTCTACCAAGACGCTCCCTTTTACCTAAGCCTACAGCATCCTTTGCGCTCGGGGGTTCCCATTCCTTTTCCTTTATTTCCCTATCCTTTTCTATCTCTATCTCTACCTATTTTCCCTTATCTTGTGATGGTACCATCGGTATAGGTTGCGACCGAACCGGTGTAGGTGTCTTTGCCATCGGACGACACAGTTGACGTAGCGCTGCTACCTTCATTTCATCCCGTCGGGCTGCCCAGCGACGCCCCCGTCGAAGGCCTTGTCGCGTTACAAGGTGCCGAAGAAGCTCAACGAGCATTGGCCTTACAACCCAGTGGAACTGGGGTACCTTCGTACACGCCCCACCCCACACTCGTCGAGCAGTTCTCTTCGCAAGTCTCTACCACAACGATCCCGGGCCGGACTATTTCTCTGTGCCCCCCTATCAAGGATCTGAGCTACTACGAGTCGCAAGCTCGTTTAAACGGAGAAGGGAGAGTCGGACACTCCGTAGCGCTTTGCGGTCGGCAGTTCTTCTTTTTGTTGCTGTTGTCGTTTTTGCTGGACCATCGGACCGCGGTCTCTGCCTGACAGGCGCATTGCACTACAGTCACCGATGTGTAGCAGACGACTAATCCTACGATTTATGGCGTCGGCGATCGCTACAGTACGTACAAGTCTACCTATTCCGCCGACGACATGGAGCGCGTCGTCATTCGCGACGCTCGCGCTCCACACAACGACCCTATGCCTGACCTGCTGACCTCGTACGCCGCGTGGGCAACGAGGGAGAAGGACCAAACTACTCGTTGGCCGGTCAGCGTGGGAAAATGGTAGATGCGGATTGCACTGTAATGGGAGATCGAGTGCTGAAGCGGACCGCTTTAAAGAAGCAAGCATGGGATGGCACGCGTGAGTACTATGTCATCATCGACCAGAAGGGCATGCTCGCCTTTGTTAGTGTCGTATATAACGAGATGCGCGTGGGTTCAAGCAAGAAGTGCTGGCAAGGTTGAGCACAGTCAAGGACGCGCAAGGAGGCACGCGACCCGACTACTTGATTTCCATACTGGGACGTGACAAAACCGGGATGCTACAACCGGATGACACGCTCACGCCACTGCTGCGCAAGGAACTGTAGCTGGAATTAACTGGCGAGGAAGTGCAGTAGCTGCTCGAGTCGGTGACCAACGTATCTGAAGCGGATCATTCAGATCGGCGAGGACCCTATGTCAGCGACGTTCAAGGAAAAGGGGAGCTGTTTGCTGAGGAGGCAGTCAGCGTGGGGGAGAACATTGTTTCTCTGCACGGGCTTATGATGCAAAAGCTGCAAAGCCTGGTGCATTTGGGCGAGCGCAACCGGATGTCATGCCGGCGGTAAGCGGATGTGCCGCACATGCTGCGCGAGCTTGGCAATGACCTCGTGGCCAGCAAGAAGCGATCGCAAAGGCCGAGCGCAAGGTGACCGGCAACGGTGGGGTAGACATGATGCCACACACGCCAGGAGGGGGCTACGAAAACCACGGGTACAGTACCCACAGTGGGGAAGTCGTCCGCGAAGAGGGGGAAGAAAGGCAGCAGGGAAGCGCAGATCGCGCAACACTGCGTACGGGACGGGACGCCGGCGAGTTCGTCGGGTCCGAGGGCGAAGGGCGAATGACCTGCGCGCGCGTAGGGGGGTGCGAGAAGGAGCACGGAGGACAACGGCCAGGGAGCGGAGGCGACAGACGGAGCAAGATCGGCCGTATAGATGGCGTGGCCGGCCATGTCTTCCTCTCTATACAAGCACCCGTGGACGCGGACGTCCCCGCTTAAGGGAAGGCCGTGTAGTATAACCCTCCGTGGGGCTTTTTTGTTAGATTAGATCAACAACGGGATCCAATACTGTAGAGCCCGATGCTTTACAGTACTACCACACGTGGCCACGTGTATCTCGGGCACAGGATATCCACGTGTACACGTGTGCGCGCGGGACGGAAGCGCACACACACACGTGTACTGTCAGCCACGATAGCTGACAGTATTACAGTACGGTCTGAGCTGTACTGCAGTAGTCCACTACAGTACTTCGGTACTGTAGTGTTATAGATTGTTTTGTATATTAAATATGGAGCGGACCGGGGGGGTGGAGAACGACAAGCACGGACTTGTCACCCACCGACCGTCAAGGTCCGACTTCCCGCTTATTCTAAGGTAACGCTCGCTAATTTCCTTAGAGCGGCACCGAGCGCGGGTTGAGGACGCGCGCGGCACGCCCACGAGCCGGCTCCGTCTCCGCCCGTCGGTACTGGATCGTTACCCAGTACCGCGCCGGGTCGTGGAGGCGGCGAACCGCTCGCGCGTGCCCGCGTCCTCCTCGTCCCGCTCTACCATGCTACCCGGGCCCGTTGCCCAGTGCCGTTAGCTGGTGTCTCGCTTCACCCCCGTCTTCCCGATCGACAAGGGTCTCGGTCGAACTGTGCATACACCGCTATCGCTGGGGGTGTTTATGCTACATCTACGGGGGGTACGACTGTCCCGATCGACGAAAAGATTCCTTGCTACTCTGTCATGAATTTTGACGATGAGCCTCAGCATCAAGAGGAGACCTACGACACTACCGATGTCGAAATTTCCGCGGGCTGCTACGCGCTGGACCCCCCGGCCTCGATGGCAGCGATAACCCACGAAGACTTCTCTCGTGAACAGCACTCCGATCCATTTTGTAAGGAGGTGACTTCCCGTCTTGAGAAGGGGGAGGGGTCCGCCGAATTGCGCCGGTCCCGATTCTTCGTGAATCGGGAAGGGCTGGTCTGCCGGAAAGCCCACCTCGACGGTGTGGAACCGATCGTAGTACCAACAACCCTCCGGGACAGGGGGGTTCTTGTCGCATTATCCCGCCACCTCCGGCCATCCGGGAGGTAGGCGATTGTTCTATACGCTAAGACAGCGGTTCTATTGGCCAAGCATGTCGGTGGACTCCTACTCGACCGTAAGGATGTGTCCCGACTGCGCGAAGACACGCATCAAACTGCGGAAGCACAACTCTGAGTTGAAGACATTTCCTCCGTCAGGGCCCCTGGAGTACATCGCCATCGATATTCTCGGCGAACTTCCCCGTACACCAAGAGGAAACCGTTACCTCTTGGTGATGACGGACAGATACTCCAAGCTGACCAGGATGGTCCCGCTCAAGAGGATTACCGCTGAAACGGTTGCGCAAGCGTTCATTTCCCACTGGGTGTTCGTATACGGCGCCCCAGTGAAACTTCTCTCCGATAACGGAGGACAATTCACATCGAGGTTTTTCCTCGCAGTGTGCAAGATACTCTCAATTGAGAGCGTGTTTACCACGGCGTATCACCCCCAAACTAATGGGCATGTGGAAAGATTCAACCGTACGTTGGTATCAACCCTCCGGAACTACCTCGCCGATAACCAACGAGACTGGGATCAGTATACGGACGCCTTGACGTACGGATACAATTGTACGGTCAACAGGATGATTGGGATGAAGCCCTTTGACCTGGTATTATCCCGGACCCCGAGTCCGTTGGCCCTGCAACAAACGCCGCGGTTGGACCCCACCGCCTCTAGGGCGCAGTTCAAGATCCGCTACTTAGCGTGGCTTCGCGGCCTGATGTCGACGGCCAGCAGTAACCTGCGGACCGGACGGGAGCGGTATAAACAGGAGTTCGATAATCGGATCCGCTACCCCGTACCTGACTACAAGGTGGGGGATCAAGTACTCGTGAACCGCGAGGCCGCGCTGCGGTCCGAGGAGAGGACCGAAAAGAATCGGGTGAATAACAAGCTCGCACCACAAACCGAGGTCCCCTTCCCTGTCTTGCAGGTGGATGACCATACCGTCACCATTCTACGCGGGACGGGACTCAAGGACCGGCTCTCTCGTGACCGAGTCCTCAAAGCGCCCCAGTTGAGGAGCAACGTGTAGGATCCCCCGCTGGAACGGGTGGAGTCAGACGGGGAGGATAGTAACCTCCCCGAAGCTACCGCCTCGGAAGGGACCCTCGCTACACCGGCGACCGCGAAGTTGCTCACGCCGGGATTGATGGACGCTGTCACGAGCGCGGGAATCGAGGACAACCTCTCGAGACTCGCTGGGTACCGCTCTCCGGTCGGGATAACGGAGGGCCCGCAGCGTGGAGAAGAATCGGACTCGCGTCCTGCTAGTAGCACGCGCGCGCGTAGTACGCGCGCTCGAACCGCGAGAGAGACCCCTATAGCTCCCGAGCCAACAGTGGCCCCTACGGACCCACCCGCGCCCCGCCGCGTTGTCCCCTCCGCCCCTCTGGCGATCGGCCCCGCCCACCGCGCGTTCATCGCGTCGGGTGCCGCACGTCTTTCCGCGAAGTGTACGTTCCAACCCGATGCCTTTTGCGTGCCACCTACCTCACCATTGGCTGAGTCTTTACCTCCCGTTAATAACGCAGGAGGCCCCACCGACGTTTACGTCGTACATTCGCTGACGGTGCACGACCCTGGGGTGAACGGGATCCCTATGTTCCGCGTACGCTGGTACGGGTACAGCGACGCCGAGGCGACCTGGGAGCCTGCTCACCACATCGACTACAACACCATAGTGCGGTACTGTCGCAAAAAGCGGATACGAATCCCCGACTGGGCGCTATGGCAACGACCCAACGGCGTGGGCCTCGAGAACTAGACACGCAGGGCCGTCGCCCTGTTACCCCAGCGAGAAGGTACGAGGGGCTCCACAGCAATGCCTCATGGAAACACGCGTCCCGACCCCGCGAACTGCCACCGGACGTCTTGGCCCGACCCGTCCCCCCTTTTGGGTCTTGTAATGTTTTTCAAATTTTCGGATGGAGGTTCTATTTCCGCAAATATTTGGGAGGGTGCTTCCCCGACAGCGACATGGGCGGACCCACGACCGAGCCATGCGGTATGGCGTGTTGGTTCCTCCGGGGCCGAAGAGCGCGTGCCTCGCTCCCTCGGAAACCGACGGGAGCTCCGCGCGCATCGGCTGGGGGAGCGGTCAGGCCGCTCCCCCCACCACCGGCGGAGGGCGATGACTTGGCTCGCCTAGACGAGTTCGCGCCGTGCCGCGATTCACCTCCTCCCCTTTCGAACTGAAGACTCCGCTACTCGCCCGAAGAGGTCCTCCGCGTGGCCCGTGGCGTGTACGCCCCTCGGTGGCGGGGTCGGGAAGTTTTCTAGCTCGCATGAAGAGGGCACCCCCGCCACCGCGCGGGTTCCATCCCCCCGTGTAAGGAGAAATTTCTCTGCTCATCTAGGGAGGTCACGAACCCCCTTATTCGGAGGGAGAGAATTCTACTCGCAAACCGAGGACGTCCCCTCTCCCAGAAAGGAGGCAATCGATCGCACTCGTTGAACGAGGTCTGCCCCGCCATATGGCGTAGTCCGTTCACCCCCCCTCTTCTGTTTTTTTCGTACGGGGGGGTAGCTTCCGTACTCGCATGACGAGGCCTCTTCACCCAATGATGGGGAATAATCCCTGATTGGACAAAGACGGGTACACCAATCCCCTAGTAGGGACTGGAGATCCGCTAGCTCGTACAACGAGGATTCACGCTGCGGTATCGCCGGTCAGCTCCCCCGTAACAGGGTCCCCACTCCTCCCCTCGCTCAGCGAGGTCACGCCCCGCCCGATGACGGCGCCCTTATATGATGCGTCCGCCCTCCCCCTCACCGGGTTGGGACAGGGCCCCTCGCTCGGCTGAAGAGGTCCACCCCCACTCTCGGTGACGCGTCCGGGGTCCCTATTCTACGCTTGTCAACAGGAGTCACCTAATGGTTCAGTTTATTCTTCGACCCTCGAGTAGGATGGGTCAGGGGGCGCCCCTACTGGGCAGCCGTGCCTTCAACCTCACAGGGGCCCCTCTTCCTCGTAATCAGCGAGGTCTTCTTCCGGCACGGCGGTTCCCGCGTTAGCCGTCTGCTCTCCCGACAGTACTGTCGGCCCCTCCGGTGCTGCTGCAGTAACCGTCTCCTCGCGCACCGCGGGTGGAGCGGTTCCTCTCGCTGCCGCCTCGGAAGCGATGGAAAACGCGGGTCCCACCGTCGTCCGTTCTTGTTCTGTAGGCGGCGCGGTCTCCCCCGCCTCCTCGCCCGACGCCTTCTCGGTGACGAGCCGTCGTAATTTCTTCCGGAGGCGGGGGTGGCTGAGCAACACGCGCACCTCCGCGTCCGACATCGATGTCGGACCGCGACTCTTAACCGCCTTAACCGGCGAAGCTACCTGCTCTTCCACGCCGTCCATTGTCACGTCAGTTGCCTCAGAGGCAGTGACAGGACCCCGATCGCGCCCGATACCGGGTCCTTCCGTGAATCCAACCCCGCATCTTCGCACGCGCGCCTCACCGGGCTCTTCTCCCGGGACACCCTTGCGTCTCTGAACGCGCCCCTCTCCGCCACCACCACCGGCGTCGACATCCTCCGCCTCCCGTAAGTACTCGGGTTGTGCGAGAGTGAGAGAACCGGACTCGATCCGCACCCAGTTCCCGCGGTCAGCTCGACCCGCGTCGTGCCTCCGCCCAGGGGAGTAATGCCTCGACCGGGGGTTATCGAAGTGATGCCCCTGATTGTATGGCACACGAGGCCAATCGATGGCCTCGTGGAGATCTAACAGGCCTTGTAAGCGATCCTGCATCACCGCCCCGCCTAGCACTCGTGTGAGGTCCAAGCGTCTTAACCACTCCACAACCATCGTTGGGAGGACATACAACCGCCCGTCGTAAGTTGACCACAAGAAGCGCTTGGCGAAAATGGCGAGCCACTCGCTCAGGAATACCATCCAGCGGGAGGATTGAGGATCGGCCGTCATACTCATTCCATAATACACCAAACACGGTGGTAATTCCGCAAGGAAGTCCGCAGGGACTTCGTACTGCGCAAACCACGCGGGCAGCTCGGGGTACCGCCCGGCCAGGACGTCGCGCTCGAACGACGTAATTTCTACCCACTCGTACGCGACAAAGACCCCATCCGGTTACACATCCGACGCTCGTACTTCAGCTTTTTGTGCATGGCGGGGTCTCTCCTCCGCTCTGGCTGACTCTCGAACCCTGGAGGGAGGATCGCCTCGCTCCAGGCCATCTGCTCAACCGCTGGCTCCTCCTCCCGTAGACGGAGATTGTCCATGACCCGCTTTAATCCAGCGACATACACCCGATCGGCCTCCGTGCGATAGGCCCAAGTATCTAGATCCCACGCACGAGGGACGATCCGATTGCAAGGTGTTCGGCGCATCCGCTGCCGAATTAACTCCACGAATGCCACCCGTGCACGTGTGTTCTCCAGCCGGAACTCCGGGCGTAGCAACTCAGGCTCCACAACCAGACGGTGTGAGAAGTCCCTGGATGACACGGCCGCCAGGCTGAGCCCCCCCAGGAGCTCTCCGGGCGCTGCAACGTAGCGCTGGACCAACTCCGCGTCCCGCAAGCCCGCGGGGGTCAGAAACGCAGCCCTCTCAAAATGGAGTGCGTCATTGCACATGTTACGTCCCCACAGGTCGCTCGGGCGGGGCCCCTCCCGGTCGACTGGTCGTACTCCAAAGGTATCCATTGCCCTCCTTCCGGACGGGGTGGTTGTATGAGAGGAGGGTATGAGCTCAACGAGGGCACCCCGGCGCAAGGACGTTTCCCGAGTTTGGGCGAGTGTAAAACTGCAATACAGTACCCTGTACCGTCCCCCACCTCTTTTACCAGAGCTCTCCCCTCCCCGCGCGCTACAGCGGTACACACGCTGCCGCCGGAATCCTCGTTGGTAGGGACGACCTAGCAGAGACTTAATTTCCGGAAATTTTCTCCGTTCCTCCCCATCCTCCGGAGGCGGACGCCCCGGAAGTCTGGTCGGTGCGTACGGGACAGTATCCCCGCGCGTCTGTATCGTCCACCGGGGGCGGGTACCGCTGCACGGCGGGTCCAGTACCCCTCCCTCCGAGGGGTAATAATCTCTCCCCTCCATCGAGCTCCCGGGCAGCCCAGCGACGCGCGTCGATAGTCACCCAGGATGGCGGATTTCCGGAGAAGAGAAGAGCACTGTCGTCACGACGGAGGAAAATCTCCATGAAAAGGGAGATTAGAGCCCCCTGGTACATGGAAACCAAACAATCCCTGCGCCGGGAAGTGTCGAACTACCCGCGGCGGCGACCGAGAACTCGTCGGGAATCGAACAACCCCTCACCTATCTCGTGAGAACATGCACACCGTTAAATCAAATGGTCACCCTCTCGCACGCACGAGCTATCTTACTCCTCGTCATCACGAGCTGACCTCACCCTCGAGGCCCCGAGTCACGTAATCGCCTAGCCGGCGGAGCCCACCACACCGTTATATCGAGTGGTCACCCCCCCGCACGCACGAGCTATCCTACTCCTCGTTATCACGAGCTCATCTCACCCTCGAGTCCCCGAGTCATTTACTCGCCCAGCTGGCGGAGCCAACCGCGTCGTTAGATCGAGCGACCATCCCCTCTGTCTCTCGGGCTATTCTCCCCCTCCCTCGGGGTCAGCCGCCGTCACGTTTATCAGAGAATACCTCGGGCCACCGCTCCGCGCTCCCGAAAGCGTCTCTCTACTCTACAGTACCACGCCCCGTTTGTAGAGAACAAATGACGTGTGGGACGAGGAAGGAGCGCAACAAGAAAAGATCGAGGTGCTCAAGGGAGCGACGCCGCTCCGTAACCGGGCTCAGAGTGTGGACGCCGCTTCGCAAGGTAACGGGGACGCGCTGTCGGTGACTCTCATCCTACCACCCTCTCTCTAAGAGCTCCGCTATCCTCGCCCGTGATCAATGGCGATACCACTGTCGCCACAGTTATGGTTCGCGGGGACGCTCTACTCTGAGAGGGGGGCTATGTAGAGGACTGACAGCCCCGCGTAATCGCGGTGCTGTACTGTAGCACACGCGGGATGCCTCACTATCATAAGTGATATATATACCACGTGTA